TTCAATAAATATTAATTTAACATGTAAGATGTAGATATTTAATTTGAATTTACTTATTTTTATTTAAATATAAACTAGATAAATTTGAAGCAGTACTTTTCTTTACACCTACCGGAGGGTAAAAGGTAAGGAAACCAAAATAATGAAATAAAAAGGTTGTGAAACGGAATTTGGAAGGATTAGAATCAGGTAAGTACGTGAAATTAATTTGAAACGTAAGTAATAGTTCTTTTTAAGTATATAAAATACATTATATTATTTCTTATAAATTACTTATAATTTTATATTATGTTTATTTTGTTATATATTTTATAATTTTTATAATACAATAAGGAAGGAATAGAAGTAGGGAGGTACATTAAGGAATATTAATGAATCCATTTAAGAGGAGGAATCGTTGAGGGACCCTGCGTGATACTAGCTACCTTTTTTTTAAATAGTTTAACGGCCTTGGATGAAATCCATACAGCCAATTCTTTATTAATGCTAGCTACCTCAAGTGACAGTGACAGATGTCGATGGTGCAAGGTAGCCAACCAAGAAGCTTATATACAACACTGGAGATTGCAGTGCAAACAATACCTTGAAGTGAAAAAATATGGCCTTGAATGACGTCACATATGTTTGTTATCTCTTTCTAAGGGTGACCATGTTGGAATATACGTTTAGGATACATACTTACTGGTATCGTCTTTAAACAATTTATAAATCAAAGCGTTGGAGTTGATAGGAACTTGGGAACACATTATTTAATAGTAATAAAATTCACAAGTACAAAAATCATTTTATTCATATTAGATGCGTCTTATATTATGCCATGTCAAAAACGTTTATAAAAAAATTAACGAGAAAGAATATGCAAACCCTTTTTAAAATCGCCAGAAATGACTTTTACTAAGAACGGACTAGAATCTCTAAGCTACATATTTTGGCTGATAAATAAAATTGACCTTTTAATGGTATTGTTACGTGTCGGGATGGGGTTCGAAATTATATGCCAGTTCACGATTGACAGTTCTTTATTCACCACACAGTTCACACAATTAACACACAATGTTAATTACAAAACACTCACTAAACACTGTATTTCACTATACAAGTCTCTAAACAATCTCACTTGAACACTTTTGTTGCACTTTGATCGCCTTTGGATTCGCTCCGAAATCGCTGTTGAAACTCAACTGTCTCTGCGCGGCGCCAATCGCCCTTATATACGCCGATCGATGCATTCTAGAAAGTAAATAAATAAATAAATATTTCCAACACTCACACCAATTAGCCTAGCCCCAAAGTAAGTACTATAAGGCTTGTGTTATGGGATACTAGGGTAACGGATAGAATACATAAACTGTACATATTTATGTATATTTTTTTTTATAGAAATACATATTAAACATCCATGATTGGAGTACAAATGCTCGTATTCATCACACAAACATCTGTCCCCACCGGGATTTGAACCCGGGACCTCTCGAGTCGGCGACACCATGAAACCCGGCGTACAAACCACTCGACCACGGAGGTCGTCGAAAGTCGAAGTTCTAGAAAGTACCTGTTAAATTGAGAATTACCTAGCACCCGCGAGTACGAAATACCTACTTATACCTACGCAAGTAACACGCATAACTTGTAAAAAAGTGCAGATATCGTTGCACTTTCTCCTTTACGTCGCACTGCATAAGGCTCATTTTAGAATGAGCCGCCTTACTCGACTTCTATTGCGACCCGCGGTGCTCTGGCTAATTCGATCTCTAGCACATTCGCGGTTCCGTTTCGAGAGCGTTTGTGACAGTATAATGGACAACCAAGAATTTCTTTTAATGACATCTTTCGGGAAGCTGAAACATAAACAAAGGTATAACACCGCTGCTAGATAGCTGTTATTAAATAGGTTTTCTACATCTAATCAACATGATCTACTACAGTATTTATTATAAACTTATTTTCATATTTTGAACTTTATAATTACTATTTACAATAATACTTATGTATTTTAACTTAGTCAAAATATCTCAAGTGTAGTGATAATGGTTACCCTACAAAACCAAAATTTATATTATTTTAATTTAATAAACTGCTGAATATGGTACCAAATGTAGTGAATAAAACAAGAATAACGTTAATTTATAGCCTCAGGACACTATGATTTATAAATACTAACGTTTTATTATGATTACAACATAAAAATATAGGAATATGTTTATTTCGGTATTGGCATAATGTAATAGACTTACCTGTGAAATTTAGTGCTGGAATTTGGTTCCCAAACACTTCTGCAATCTCACACAACACAATACATATTATAAATAGCAAATTGAACAATTTAACACTTTTTAATAATAATTTAACATTCGAAGCGTTAGATTTTTTTTTGACAGATCGGAGCTATTCTTCAGTTTATTTTTTAATTAGTGTTGCTATTATACCAAAATGGTAGCAACCAGCAAACAGGGAAATAAAGGGCGTATTTATTATTTAGTTTTAAATATTGATTTCAAAGTAGTTGGTTAGAATTTGTCACACTCATCTTATAATAGTAATACAAGAGTAGGACTTCTGGAGATTGTAAAACTGATTGATATCTTGCATAGTTCTGTTTATTTTCACTTTCTGATTGGAATTTCTTGTATTTAACATGGTAATTTCAGATAGTGTGTGAGAGAGATAAAAAACATATCATGGGGTTAATGAACTCATCTTCATACAGAAGTTCTACATGCAATCTCCAGTGTTGTATATAAGCTTCTTGTAGCCAACTAAAATTTTGTATAGATTTTTTTTCCTCTTATTTAAATTTATAGGCCAACGAGTCACCTAACCATAGGCTGTATACAGAAAGAAAGCCGATCAGCGCCGATAAGCGCCGACACGCGCTGGTCAGCTGATCATTATGATCTATGTTGTCCGAATAATAAATAATTTGTATTTGAATTATTATCCTTAGAAGTTTCTTCTCTTTTTATAAATCTAATAACTTTATCTTTTATTAACTAAGCGCTAGAATTATTTGTTTCGTACTTACCGAATGATGACAACAAGACAACAAGTCTTTCTTCTGGAAGGATTGATGTTTATGCCAATTGTACCAATTTTTCATCAAACGGTTTTTCACTAAATCTAAAATGTAATAAAATGTTTCTTGAGTCATTCTTGTATATGTATAAAATCTTTGATCATCAAATTTCAATTTTTTACAAATAAATGATGGTATTCTCCGAAACGTTTCCTTTCTCTATTTATAGGATGTATAGCGTTTTTTCACATTTTTAAATACACATTTTCAAACAAAACCAAATCATCGTCCAATGAGTCCGACATTTTGCTTGATCTGCTTTAATCGGCTTCCTTTATGTAGTAAGGCGCCGATAAGCGCCGATCGGCTTTCGGCTTTCTTCTGTATACGGCCATAGACTGTAAAGAAATGTCTTTCCAGTAAAATTTTATTTAGATTCAAACCTCTAGCAGCCTAATGCGTAAAATACTGGTTTGGAAACTTACGGTTTATGCTCCAACATGTTGCCTACAATGAAAATGTATGTTACACACAATCTCGTACTTAAGTGTAGTATTCTCGTATCTCGTACAGAAGATCAGAAATGAGAAATCTCGTATTTGTATGAATATTTTCGTACGGTTGGCAATACTGCTGTGGTGACCACAGCTCGAAAGTAATTGATAGATCTGCCCACTAAAATCGGTATACTTTACCCAAAAAAAATATGAAAACAAAATGACAAGGATACACTGTAGTCAAATTTAATTTTAGGTTTAGAGAATCTATTATTTGGAAATTCTATTATTTACCAAAAAATAAACTTACAGACTAATTTTTATGTTATTTTTCATCTCATTATTTATCCCTCAGAGATACACTTCCCTGTAGAGACACTTAATGAAATTACGCTTTTATTCCCCAGAAATACTCGGCTTGTACACTTAAACATAAATATTTTATTTAAACTAATTATAAAATAACACTGTGGAATTGTTTTAAACTTTCATGGTCACTATGTAATGTGTTAAGTTTACTTTACCTAATGTGAGGCAGGTTAATACTAGTTTAAAAATAAACGACCAGCCTGTAGAATTAGTGGATTCTACAAAGTTTCTGGGTATTACTTTAGACTCGCATCTGCAATGGGATCCTCATATTGATGCCTTATCAAGTAGACTGAGCTCTGCGGCCTTCGCTGTTAAAAAAATAAGACTCCTAACTGATGTGGAAACGGCAAGAATGGTTTACTTTGGTTACTTTCATAGCGTTATGTCATATGGCCTTTTGTTGTGGGGCTCAGCTGCTAATATAGAAAGTATTTTCGTACTGCAAAAGTGAGCTATTCGAGCCATATATAATTTAAAGGCAAGAGAATCTCTTAGAGAAAAAATTAAAGAAATTAATATTTTAACACTGGCATCGCAATACATCTATGAAAATATAATATGTGTAAGAAGAAACTATGACGCATTTGCAAAAAAAAGTCAAATCCATAACTTTAACACGAGATTTAAGAACAAGCTTGCCGTTCCATGTTTCAGACTCCAAAAATCAAGAGGTTCATTTCTGGGATGTAGTATTGCATTGTTTAACAAAGTTCCCCAAGATCTGATTGAGCTTCCACTAACCAAATTTAAATCTCAGATTAAGAATACTCTTATGAATAAGGGCTATTATAAAGTTAATGATTATCTAAATGATCGTAATGCATGGACATAGTGTTTCTTGTAATTTCTTATTTGATGGGTATGAGTCAGTTTTGTAACAGTAGTATGGTACCTATCTAATGCCGCTTCCTATATATACTAAATATAAAATTTGTTGTAACTATATATCTATACCCTAAATAATGTAATGGAAGGTGACTTCAGAAGTATGTCTGAAGTCATTTTTCAACTTGACGACTCTGTATATATCAATACAGGGAGAAAAAAGCAGCCCTTGCTGAGTTTCTTGCCGGTTCTTCTCAGTACAAGGTCTCCCGCCGTAGTTTTGCGAACCGATGGCGTAGCTTCTTGACTTTCACAAGTGCTTGTAACAGCCTAGACTGAATAAATGACTTTTCATTTCATTTCATTTCACTAACATCATAGTTATTTATGTTACATAAATATTTATTGTGTCATGGGCATAGGCTTTTTCTAATAAAAATGGACTTATTGGTCAGAATCCTCTGCCTATGATATTGGATAACAACCACAACAACATCAAAAAAAATGACAGCCAGCGACAATCCGAAGAATCAACGAAGCTTCCATTCCATGTAAAAATAACAGATTTTCTTTAAAAACTGTGGATGGAAGCTTGTATATTTGTTAGTTTTTAGTTTGCTCATAAAAGTGTTTTGTGGTAGTTAGATAAAACATTTATCATTCTGGTTAGTACGTTATTCTACCAATCGGGTGTGCACTGCAAAGTGTCGCTATCGATCTCCATCTACAGCACCTTAAACGCGAATTGTTTATTTTGTTTTAGGATTCCCAAAAGAGGACGTATTTGGACATCTACAAGATGGATTTGGCGGAAACTATGAAGAGTGTATTGGCTAAAAGCACCGGTGGCTCAAGTGGAGCCGCTAGTTCTTCTGGTTCGGCGACCCCTCACGGTGCCGAGGGATATGTTACTGAGAAGTTGTACATGCTGTTACAGCTTTACTTACAGAATAAAGGATGGAGCCCTAGTATAGAACTGCTACAATGTTTCAGTGATTTGAAGGAATCTTCTATGCTTCCTAGTGCAGCTTACCTTCAGTGAGTTACCATTTCTTATTAAAGAAATGTAAATATTAAATTATAATAGTCTATCAAAATAATAAAACGGGTGTATACTTTAACAGTAAATAAAATCTTTGTTAAATGTATTTAGTAATATATAAAGACTAGCAAAAAATTTGTTATTAGGGTGATTTACTTTGCATTATGCATGAAGTTGAAAAGTTTTGGTTAAGGTATAATAGTAATCATTGAAACTCCCTTTTTAGAATGATGGCTTCAAGAGTAGGATTAGACACACAAGGAAGACTGATACTCCGAGAGAATGGCAAGATTATTTTACCTTATGAACATTTTGCTAATGCTGTAATGTTAAAACATATGAATGGTCCCCATGGATTACACCTTGGTCTTGAAGCCACAGTCAGAGCGGTAAGTGGACCAGAATAATTATGTTTAATTTACGTCATTAATTTTAGTAGTTAATCACTCAAATGCATATGTAATAAAAATGAGTATGGTTGATGAGATGTCATAATTCAAAACTGTACTGCATATTTATCCATGCCCAAACAATATCAAAATTGTAAATGATTATTATATTGTAACTGTAAAAATATTATGATACTCATTAATATATTTGCATTAAAGAAGAAATATGTAGTAAAAAAGAAGTTGCTGTTTTACATACATGTAAATGTAATGGATTAATTTTTGTAAAAATAAATTTAGTAGGTGTAAACATTATTTAATTTATTGGTGTTGTAATCAAAATGAAAATTTAAGGAAATAACTAATTTAGTATGTTACTTTGTTTTAATAAGACCAGTGCAAATTTATATTTATATATTTATTAGTATATAAATATAAAATTGCCTATGTCTACAGTGTAAAAGCAAAATCACTTATACTCCACTTTGGTGCTGCTGAAAAATTAACTTAACTTCAGTTTTTATTTAATGTTAATTTTGAAGCAGGAATGAAGTGGAGTATAAGCAATTATGCTTTCCTACTGTTGATGTATTCTATCCATTAATCTATTATCCCATAGTAAAAGCCTTACATTGTTTACTTTGGGGCTAGGCTAATTGGTGTGAGTGTTTAAAAAGAAATGCACTGAATTTTATACAACTGAGATTTTAATAAAAGTGGTGTCTTTTTTCTAGCATAACTGGTTTCAGTGTTAGTCATTTGTGGTTGATATTCTAAACTAAAGCAATCATTTTTTTTTGGAAACTGTACTGCTCAATGTGTTCCAGTATTAATTATAGTAAATAGTTATTCTCATACTATCTAATTAGTCTAATTGAATCTTATATTTAGTTTTATTTACTTTTACTACTCTATATAAAATATTTTTGTATAATTTGTCATTTCTAATTTGTATGATAGATTTTTTCAAGTAGTTTATAATTTCAGGTTGTTGAGTCTTATACAATTGGTCGAGAACAATTTGGTATGGAAAAAGAGTTTATTGTAGAAGTAGTTCAAAACTGTCCTAACCCTGCCTGCCGTTATTACAAAAACCAGTTGGAAATGACTCAAAAATCAATACAACAGCATTTATCACAGCAGCCAACTTATATACCAGGTATAGTTTTTTATGTAACTAGCTTCTCCCTGTTGCTCACTCAACCATCAATCAGTTATCAGAGGCCCATGCATAAACTTTGACAGCTCCATAAACCTATTGCAATTCAATTAAATTTTTGGTGATTATGGCTGCTTCTCATTACGTGACAATTCTGCCAATGTCTGGGTTAAAGGAGACAAGTTTATGTTGAGCCTGTATGGTTTTGTTGATGTTGTGCAGTATGTCGACTGCAGACTTGTTGAGTATCTGTAACAACACATAGACAGACATTTGTGATACCAGGCACCCATGCATTTATCTCTCATTAATACTATACGCTCTAATATATTTTGTAATATAAAGTAAACTAATAGTTTCCCAATCAAAATAAATTGTTAAATTATTACAAAGTTACATCTTTAATAGATGCTGGTGCATCAAACTTATCAGACAGCCAGGCTGTGGAGCGTTTGCTCCGAGGAACTGCCTTGGCACAAGACTACCAGCTGCCTATCGCTCCACATCTTGCTGCACTGAGTGAGTTGTTAAGTAAAAATCATTCACATTTGATCTGGTCATTACCTAATTATTCTCTTTGTGTTATAATAAGACAATTGGAATAAATTTCTCTTTCAGGTAACTTGACAGGTGATAAAACTGATCGCAGGAGTCAAGATAAGTTGTCTCAACATCAACAGATGCTCTTGCAGCATCAAAACAGGAGTCTTGGACACCAAACCTCGCACGATAAGTACGCCCACTCGCAGCAACGCTCGGCTACCACCACGCAGTCTGGCCTTGAAACCAAATCCAAGCATCATTACACGGATGAACATAAACTTACTGACTTTTTAAGGTAAGGCTCTCGTACTTCTTGATATTTATTTTCAGTAGTTAGTTATCTAACAAACTTGATTTAATTTATAAACAAGTGTGGCCCTATCAGACAATTTTATGGATTTCAGTTGTTGTGTTTCCTTTTTCTTTTTATAGGTTCACTCAAATATTTTTATTAAGTTGTTTTAGAATAATAAAATAAACTGTTTTTGTACTAGGCTGAGGGTTTCAAAATAGGAACATTTGTTTGAAACATTTAAAAATCATTTGTGAATTAGCAGCAGAAAATATTGAGGGTGGTGGCTCCCCAAATTCACTTTTAAAACAAGTTATCTTGCTTTTGCTTCAGTAATACTACGATTTCCCACAACGAAAGTGGATTGAATTTCTTTTATTATGTTAAGAGTTAAAGCTGCATTGGGTGCCAATCGAAAATATGTGCGCTCTTTTGTGGCAGAGCTAATCTGGAAAGCTTGGAGTCGTTATCCAGCGGAGGGGGCGGGGCGACGAGTCACAGCGACAGAGGCGGAGCGGGGGCGAGTGCGGGGACGGGGGCAGGGACAGGGGTGGGACAAGTTTCGGGGACGGGGGGGACTAATTCTGGGGCGGTTTCCTCGGCGGGAGGGGGTCAGGAGAGGGTGGTGCGGGCGTTCGCGGAACTGGCGCGGAACTTGCAGCGCATGCGGCCCTGCGTGCGCCCCGCCATGTGCAAGCCGTACGGGAAGCAGAGCGAGCAGCTGCAGAAGAGTGAGTCGAGTTAATCATCATCAGCCTATTAATGTTCCCACTACTGGGACACAGGGCTTTCCTATGGATGGAATAGGGAGATTGAGCCATGACCCACCACGCGGGCCCAGTGCGGATTGGCGGGTGCTAACGACTGCAGATGCAGCCGGGATGAACGGCTTAACGTGCCTTCCGAAGCACGGAGGAACTAGAGATAGAAGTTTTTTGGTCACCCATTCAATGACCTACCACTGCGCAAGTTGCTTAAATTAAACAATTGCAGCCGAACGCGCTAACCACCCGCGCCATCGAGTAACACAAGCAGTCTAATCTATAAAAGGTTCGTTTGCGCAGTATTGCTGGACACGATTCAGTTGGTGCAGTCTCTGCCCAGCTACCTACCATAATGATAAAATATTAATTTCCTTACTGTACAATTTCGCCCGCCGCGCCGCCACCGATAGTCCAGGCAACGAAAAGATATAGAGGGAAATGCTTAGAACACAATTTTTGACTTCGTAACTTTGTTAGGACTAGTTAGGAGGTAAACATATCAAAAGTCCCCGCCCGTAGCCCTTAAGCCGGTGGAAAGAGGGGGGATTGAAGGTCCCATTTTTAGGTTTTTGGCATATATCTCGAAAACTATGCATCCTAGCGACATGAGACTTTGACAAAAGTGAAAGCTGATTAAATTTGCTACAAGTCTTATTAAGTCAAGTTTTTTGATATCTTGTATAGTTTTCGAGATATCCGCTCTTACAAGTCTGTAATTAATGAAAAAAAATTGCTTCACATTTTTGCTCTATTTGACCGGATAACTCTTCAACAATGCCGGCCGTAGGGTTGTTGGTTCCACCAGTGAGCAGCATGCAGATTTCGGACAAGCCCGCCAAAACAAGGATGGAGCTGACATTGCCAAGCTCACTGATTGGTTTGAGAAATTTCCTCCCTTCCCAGAGACCAGAGACATTATCAAGTCACCAGAAATTCAGAAAGCAGCAGCGGTCTTTTCACACCCTTTCTCCACCACCGCTGAAGTACAAAAGGCAGGTGAAACCTGCATCTTAAGGTGGTATGGAGCTCCAGCGAAAGAGATTTCCCTCAATGCCTACAGGTACAAGTCATGCTTGAAATCAGTGGCCACCATCAAGCCTGATATCTCTTGTCTTCCTCCCACCGAGGGAGCAGTAAAACAGCATTCCCAGGAAGTGGTGGCAATTTTTTTTTCCATAATTACAGACTTTCAAGAGCGGATATCTCGAAAACTATACAAGATATCAAAAAACTTGACTGAATAAGACTTGTAGCAAATTTAATCAGCTTTCACTTTTGTCGAAGTCTCATGTCGCTAGGATGCATAGTTTCCGAGATATATGCGAAAAACCTAAAAATTCAATTCCCCCCCCCCCCCCCCCCCCCCCGGCTTAAGGGCTACGGGCGGGGACTTTTGATATGTTTACCTCCTAACTAGTCCTAACAAAGTTATGAAGTCAAAAATTGTGTTCCAAGCATTTCCCTCTTTACCTGTTTTTGAGCATTCGTTGCCTGGACTACGACACCTCTAATACAAAGTAATATAAGCGATAATCGTAACACCAACAATCTAATGTATAAAATGATAGTTTGCGCAGTATTGTTGGACACGATTCAGTTGGTGCAGTCTCTGCGCAGCTACCTACCATAATGATATAATATTAATTCCCTTGCTGTACAATTTTGTCGCCACCGACAACCTTTAATACAAAGTAATATGAGCGATAATCGTAACACTAACAATCTAATATATAAAATTCTCGTATCACGGTGTGAGTTATTGAACTACTCCGAAACGGCTCGACCGATTTTTATGAAATTTTATATGCATATTCAGTAGGTTGAGAATCGGACAACATCTATTATTCATCCCCTTAAATGTTAAGGGTGGTATATTTTTAAATTTAAATTTTTTTTGGGACAATATACTTTTTGACTTTTTTTTTATGATTCATCATACTAAAATACATACAACCCTAAATTTTTACCCTTTTACCACCAACCCCTATTTTTTATGGCGGTACGAAGTTCGCTGGGACAGCTAATCTAATGTATAAAGTGATCGTTTTCGCAGTATTGTTGGATACGATCCAGTTGGTGCAGTCTCTGCGCAGCTACCTACCGCCGCCGCACATTCAAGTCACTTCCTGGAAGAACGATGACAAACTACGGTAAGCCTTTTGTAAAGAAAAGTTCTTGTATTTCTTGAAATGTTGTCAGCATTACTTCACCTGGCTATTCGTATTTGCTATTTGATAACTTGACAACAGACTTTATATTCGGGCTAACGACCAAATGTAATTGCGCCATAATCCTTTTGTTAGCATAGCAAGTTGTTATATTTTGTAGTTCAAAGATTCTTAGTTAGACTATTTTTGTTCTCGTGCTATAGATACAAATTGTTATAATTTCATTTACAGTTCAAACAATATGGAAGAGTTGGAGAGTCGCAAGATAGTGAGTGGAAACTAGCAAACCAAACTGCGTTTCTTTCTGTTAGTACGGGTAAATATCTACCGGTGCGTATGAGCAACGACGTTGTATTGATTCTTCGAACTAAATGTTTGTTTATTTCTTGTCTATGGGTGTTATATATTTATGTCTGTACTATATCTTAAAAAAATACAGATCTTCAGAATAGGATGCTTGAGTTGCAAATCGGTATTAGGATCTCAGACTCCTTTTTATCGGAGGAATTATTTTGGATTGATTTTATAGAAAATAATGAAATCAAAATTGTATTATAGGGTCGGTAAGAAGAATTTCTCTGAATTAATAAATTTTAATCTGACTAAAGCTTAAGACTAAGTTAAATCGCGATTCATTCGGTGTCAAATCTTCCTCAAACTTTACGTTTTAAAGCAATAAAAAGCGAAGTTATAATGAAAACTTATTTGTATGGGCATTATAAATCATGAAAAAAAAAGGTGAAAATTATATAACACTATCTACACCAATGCTTTAAAACCTCTATTGAAGATTCTGAAATCTGAATCAGTTGACTTATTACCAAACATAAAACATCCAATGTCAAAATAAAAAGAATATTTCATAATAACACTCCTTCGCTTTTTAAATCCCTTCCGCGCCAAGGGCTTGCTCATCCTGGGGGTCTACTCTCTCGATAACGACGTTCAAATGAAATTTAATTTCGTCAATTTAAGGTAACTTGAACGATGAACTAACAAATTGAAGCTTTCTTTGAGTAGGCTAAGAAAATCTTCTCCTCAATCTATATTCCGACGACCAATAGCGCTAAACTTTTCCCCCCGTATTAGTAAAAGAAGACTACGCTTGGATTAGTAACTCCATGTTTTGTCTCTGTCTATTGAATGACAAATGGCATTTGAGTGACATGAACAAAACACGGCATAACAAGTCTAAGCTTATTCCTCGTTTATTAATAAGGGGGTCATGTTCTTAGAACGCCCTATGGTATCTTTTATAAACGATTCCTATCATGGGTGTAAATAAAGTCATGTATGCAACTGTTTATAATAGGGTATTTGACAGTATTAAAAATAAAGTGCCAATTGTTAGCATCTGTACTTAGAATGAATATTGGCAGGAGTTTTTACTATTTTTACAGAAAAAATATTCATAATTTTACTAAAAACCCACGATAAAGATAATATACAAAACTGATCTTGTCTATTGTCACGTGACCCAAAACGCCTGGGATTGGTGGAGCCTAAAATGACGTCACACGCAAGTAAACTTCCGGTTAAACTGACATTTGATTGAATGGTTTGACGTTTTAATGATAGTCGTGTGACGTCACACACCAGTGAGACGCGCTATTGTCCTGAGATACATTTTTCGCGGCAACTTGAAAATAGAGATTTTGATTTGGTTTTTTTACCGAAATACACAACATAAAGATGCATATCCACTTTTTATGGACTCTATAAACATTAGTAAACAACGTGAGATTGTTTTCTAAAACTTGTCAAATACCCTATTAGGTATTGAAACACTCATGTGATACTCATGTGTCACACGAGGCGAACCTGTTTTAATACCCTCATTATACAACAATTGCATTAACAACTATTATATGTTTACACTCTTAAGTTCGCACGAAACTAAGGCAATTCGTACCAGGCAGCTCGATATTGTTTTTTTGTGAACATTGAACGCAAAATGAGTCTAAATAATAGTAAATGTATTTTAATATGTTGTAAATTGAACTTTATAATAGACAAGATGTTTTTTTTTCATGTCTTCTTATTCGCGTATAAACTTAAATTGAAAAGTTGCGCTCTTCGCTTTATTCAGTCTGTTTGATTTCCTCGACTATTTTGTTTCTTGTTGGTGTTTGTTGTCTATAGTATTTTTTTTTACATTTAATAAATATTCTCTATCAACTTCTGTTACAACACATACGAGACCAGTATGCTAGTTTATTGCTTTCGATGTTATGGATCTTATAGGATATAAAAATTATCTTGTTTATCGATATACATAAAATATGTTTTTGTCTTAGTTTTAATATGTTTAATCCTGAGTTTTATTCGTCGTAAGTGCATTATTTACACTGTGATAGAAGTGTAATAGGTAGGCCTGAGCGAAGTCTTGACATGAATATCTAATTATGTATAGGATGAAAATCATGTATGAATTTAAGAATACCTTTAAAGGGCAGTGTATCACCTACACGCTGGTCTTTACTATTGATCTTTATATTGTTTTTTTTTTTCATTTCTGGCACACTTTAGCCAGGTTGCAAAAAGAACCTTAATCGCTCTAAATAAAGACGTTTCTTTGCATTAATAAAGGGAATGAGATATGATCATTTAAGCTAAAGTGTAGGTGAAATTGTTTTTTCATTGAATCAGTGTGTATTTGGTCTTATTGACGTAATCAGTGATGTAACCGCGTTAATAATAATTGTTTCTAAGGTTGTCTTTATTTGTTAATGCGAAGATTTGAATTTGTTCTGTCCTGCTTATCCCACACATGCGTTCGAACATAGAACTGCCTTCAGCTACACATACAAATTTATCGTTTTCCACAACCTTTATTAGCGTGTCAAATTATCGCCGGTCAAGCTATCGTCTAGCGTGTATATACACGCAGCTCACCTTATTAATTAAGACAGAATTAATTTAAATTTCGAACGCTATTTTTAGCGTATTTAATACCAAAGCCAATCAAAGCGTCGTCGCGCAGGTGTGGGAGAAGCATAAGGGGGCCAATCGCCTAACGGAATTGCTATGGCTATCGCTATAGCTTACGATTTCATTTTGTTATTTCTGACCGCCGAAGGTTTAAAAATACCTTACGCTCATTTTCTTTTTTATAGTTGTTACCAATACAAAAGAAAAAAAAGCGATAGTCATAGCAATCTCGTTAGGCGATTGGCCTCCAGGTCCGATAACGAACTCTTTCGCTGCATTCAAAGTGCTTCCAACGAAAGAATACGATCCTGACAGGGCGTCAATCAGTTTCTTAAGTTAATTGTATAAAGTATACTTTCTATATTGTAAAATAAGAGGTCCCAATATAAACTCTTAATTCTGTCGCCATAAGGTACTGACACGATCTGTCAGAATCGTATTCTTTCGTTGGCCGCACTGGACTGCGTTCAAAACATACACTCCAGTGGCTCAAGGTGCAACTTTTTACCTTGACGTTTCAATTTTGACAAAATGTATAAAGCCTATGTCAAAATTTACATTTGTTGCACCTGGAACGTAGGCATAGAGGTATAAGAATAGAGTACAGGAGATATAGATTACTACAAGTGGAAGTGTCCCTCTAATAGAAAGAGAAAGTAGATGAGAGACCGCTAGCTTTTCTCTCTAATCGCGCATGCGTATTGGCAACCGTAAGCATCTTACTATTTCGATGTGATGCCATTGGATGCCATGCGTCACAAGAGAGAGAGATAGCTAGCGGTCTCTCATCTTCTTTCTCTTTCTACTAGACGGACACTTTTAGAGCCGCCTTCCCCACTCTATTCTTATACCTCTATGAACGTAGGTTTGGAATAAAGCCAACCTTAGAATGAGTTCGCGCGCATTTAATGTATTCTCGATCGCCATTTCTTGTCTCGAGAACGATGGGGTGGTTAGTATCTTAATGAAGACTGCAATTTTTCACGTTCGTCTTAGCTGATGTTGCCTGTGGATGTATTTAATTAGGTTCAGTAAATTGTGGAGCGGAGAGTAGAGGTAGTGAGGAGTCACTGCACATTGACTTATTTATGAAATTGTTTATTAAATGGATTTATTTTAACAATACGCGCTAAAAGTAAAAAAAATGGAGTATTTGTCATTTCTTTTCATTTCTATACATGAGAATAGACCCTTGTCTATCCTCATGTATAGAAATGAAAACATGCTGTCCTTCAGCAAACCTATCCTTGTTATATCTCGATGGACACAAAAAGATGAATTGTACTTAAAATAATGTGTGTGTGTTAGTATGGAGCTCACAATTATAATTGAAGGCCACTTGTGCCAATGTCTATAAATAATATTTAAACAAAAATCATATTAAAACTTCATACCATCTCTAATGACCCTAAACGGTTAACAAAGATTTAATAGGGATGATTCTTAAATGCTAAAGTATCCTTGACATGCTCTATATAGACCGAAAACGAGAGACTGCTGTCAAAATTATTTTTAAGTTTAGAGAACTGTGTGCGCATCACGTACATGGTGATGTTCTAAACGGAATTAAGATTAAATTAGATTTAATGAATGTTGTTACAAGTGACCCTTAAATTAGTACAATTATTAAAATAACGATTATTGCAATAAATTTTTATTAAACGAAATAAATCACTGTAAATTATTATTAAATACAAAATCTGTATTTAAAATACTGCCTTCCTAGTAAAGAATACGGTAAGAGCTCCGACATGATGGAAAATGGCTAAAAAGATTATGAATACATATACAAAAGTAAGTCGATGTGCAGTATATCTTGTATAGAGAGTATTGTAAGATTATTGTTGTGTATATAGTTTTGATCCGTATATGATTGATATGTGGCTGGATGGAGGTCGAAATTATAACGCCAGTTCGCTCTTGGTAGTTTATTATTTACTTTGATGGTCTTACAGTACTTTTTACAATTAAAAAAGACCACGGCGTCACATTACATTCGTAATACTATAAAAACTATTTTTCTCTAAAATCACGGTTTGTTATGAATATTTTCCGCCTACATTCGGTATTTGTTATTAAGAAAAGGCCAACAATACAGCCGCCAAATTGCTCGCGCTGTTTAAATCTTTCCGTTCTGTGTCGCTCGCTCGATTGTACATTTATTTATTGGTGTGTATGTGTGAGAGTTGCTCATGTAGTTGAGTCGGATCATTTTTTATTTGCGCAAGTAAAAGCGATAACGCAAGTAAAGTAAGTTTTGAATTCAGATTTCACGTAGTTGCAATTGCTTGCCGCAGCGTACGACGTGTATTATAAAGAAATATTTTTATTATGTTAGAGTACCATCATCCGGCTCCATTGTAACATTGTTCTGTTTCATCACAATTCTATTATTAATACAAATGGATCAAAACTATACGCATAAACAACACTTCCAAAACATCACTTGTATGTGAAATAAAAAATAATAAACTATCTTAATAAGTTTGTTAGTGCAATAATTAGGCAAAGCCTACTATAAAATTAAAATTTTGTATCTTAGGACTAGAATTCTAAATTATTACATAAAATTTACTTGTCGCGTGGGGAGGTGTGCAAGGTTGTATCTATTTAAGTATTCTGCTGCCCTTTATATATTGTTTATTTGTTGTATTTCAACCTTATTTTATAGTTAAAACGGTAAGATTAATTTGTTAGATGGATACATGCAGCTTCCGTTGTTGAGTATTTGTTTCGATTTTGGAAATTATTATATCATCGGCACTATCTCTGGTAATAATCCTGTTTGTGTAACTGTACAAATATATGATTCGAGGCTATTACGATGACAACTAACAATTTAACAATGCATTTAGCATAAGTTTATTTAACGGCCAATAACTTTTCGAAAAAGTATTATAAATTTTCAAAAGAATCTCTCTTTGTATTAGCTTAAGCCTTCTAGTCAAAAATGGATTTGGTATTATTTGTCACGGTTATTTGGAAGTTCTAAGTTTAATTTATTTACCTACTGCATGAAATTTATTTTTTGAAATTTATGAATAACATAGAAGTCATTGGACATACAATATAATATTATAACTGTGTGCCTAGTGTGAGTCTAAATTTTAGGAACGTTCGCGGATATGTTAACGTTTTTCTATTTAAGAAATTATTATAGTGCGTCTAATTTTCTACTAGATGGCGTTGCTTATATGCCATATATTATCATATTATTTTGTATGCAAACGCGATTTAATCATGTATCATGCTGAAAATTTACAAATACGAACACTGATAACACTCACTTAGGTGTGCATTTTTTTAAAATTGATGTATTCATATTGAAAATTTGAGACTCGACACTGTGAAAATGATTTGATCTATCTATATTTAAGAATAGTAAGTACCTAGTGGTATTGACGGCAAAATATCATATCACAAATTATGTGAATCAGTATTTCACGCACAATTATATGTTTCTTGTTTGAAGTACATTAAGGTCTTGAATTCACCTTATCCCTTTCTATATGTATGGCATTGTATTAAGTGCTGATGTCACACATGGAATTAACATTGGTAAGTATATAGTTTTTCAATGTTAACTACACAAAAGAGGGCATTAGCTTTAAAATGTATGCTCGAAATATTTTCATTATGTTTGTCAATCTGTCGACTACAAAAACGGAAATATATCCGTTATTGTTGAATGTTTCCTAGTTATGTTGTATAATTATTAGTACATTTATTTATTAGTATATGATATTCTGAATCAATAAATCGTCAATAGTCAAAGGTTTTTAATAAATTGTATTCGCCGCATTTACTGAATATTTTACATGTCTACAATTTTGAATATTGTACCTATTGTTTGTGACGATTACTTCCTAAATATGATGATGAGTATGTAAGTCTCAGGACGCTATATTAAAATTTTCTTTAATAATTCTAAAAATGGCATCAGGACCCTGTGATACAAATGTATTCCGAAAATTTTCTTAAAATTTATGTTCAAATTTTAATCGAGTTTTGTACTTCTTTATTTAATTTGGATTCTGTAGGTCCAGTGTAAATGGTTATTGAACAAATTTGGCCTTGCCATGTATGTAATTTATTTGCCGATATAATTTCTATCATTATCATGTAAAAATGATTATTATAGTGGATGAAAAATGCTTAGAAAATAAATGATATGAATCGATTTAAGTGTTTCATTGAATAAAAAGGATAGTAAAGCGTAAATGTGCACAGTTAAGAATATAAGTAATGATTACTTGATTGAAAATTATCAACTTGAAATAATAACACTATGTAGTTTTAATGAATTTATTGATTATTTAAATTATTATAAAATTTGTAAGAAAACATTACATTCAATATATTTCTTTAAATATGAAACATGTTAAATGAAAAGCACCTTTACCTAGACTTCATATATAAATACTAATGGTTGTTCGCGACTTCGCCCGCGTAGAATTAGTGAATTGTGTAGTCAGAGATGTGACTTATCTAAGATAAAGTATCTTAGATAAGTAAAAATACGTATTTTCATCTTGTATATCGAATCCTTTTTTTTGTGATTTATCTTGTACCTTGTACTTAAATACTTATTTTTAGTGACATTATTCTTTATTTCAGGTCTTCAGTAAAAATATCAAGTTTAGAGATAATCGAAATGTGCGTTAAAATTCATCCTTATAAATCTTTGACACTTCCAATTCCCTTTTACGGGGTAGTATAGAAAAAATAAAAAAAGGTCAAACATTATGATTAACTAAGATAAGTATTCGTGCCATGTTTCAAGTCTATTAACTCAAGGCATAAGATTTTTCATACAAATTTTCATTCTCTATTCTAATCCCTTTGGGGATCAATTTTGAAAAATCATTTTTAGTCCACCCCTAGCCGTCATAAGGAACCTACGTGCCAGTCTCAAGACCTAGCGGTTTGAGCTGTGTGTTAATATGTCAGTCAGTTTCTTTATTTTCATCACAATTATCGCAATGAGAATTGACTAATTTAATTTATAACATTAAAAACGGACATTTACGTACATAAGTTAAATGGAATGAATATAGGAAAAAAATCCATAGTTTATCGTATGACTGAAACATACGTTGTTTCCCTTTCAAAAACATTCATATTTATCAGTCACGTTGGTTTTGAAGTTTATAAACTATATTCTACTCGGGTATTATTATTTTTTAATACATTTTTATTTTCCTGCTATATCTCAGTATTTTTATTGTAATGTTAATTACATTTTGTTACCAGGCCGATTCTTAGGCCAAACTATTGTCACTGTGAGGCAGAGTTTAAGTTCAAAATATACATTTAATTTGCTTTACCTATCACTTAACAGCTTCCAGCTAAAGTGATATGAACTTATTTCTCGATGAGATAAACATGGCAAAAGAAGGCTGAAAGTCGAAAACTATCATTTTGTATTGAAAATGGAGCATATCAAAATTTGTCGAGTTTTACTGGTCTGTTAAAAATGAATAAAATTATAATTTATGATACCTATGCTATAGAAGTTTAATTCATTAAAAGGTATGTTTATGTGTGAAAGTTGAAGATTGTTGAGTTGAAGAAAATCAACACGAATGTTCGTTTTGTAAAACGTATAAAACATTTTGTAATCAGTAAAACGCCGGCTTACAGGTTACACGTACACCCTTATAGTACCCGCATCTTTGGATAAGTTTTAATTGCACTTAGAACAGGAAAATTAAACTACGAGGTAAAGACAATACCTACAGTCAAGGTCACATACACTGCAAATTTCACCCTTATTGCTTAGAAATTAGGTATTAAAAGCACCATTACGTTTTATGTTGTATTCACAATATGATCTTGACTGTGTTAACAATAGTTTCTAGCATTGACTATGAGTTTTGAATGCGATTGCGTCTCTGAAAACGCCATTTTATAAGCATTTTTTAAATAAGAATATGCTTATTTATTACCATTAAAAAGAGGACGCTCTATAAACGAGATCGAGCAAGCTCATTTCATACTCGGCAAGTTATAATGTTAGGTCTCACATGACAAACTATGTCTAAGAAAATTATCTTTATGTATATTTTGGGAATACATTCACAAACTTAAAATCAAAGTACTTATATACCTAATAATAAACTTAATTTACAGGATGGATATGTCGAGATCGGTATGATTATGATACATAATGATCCATGAGATTTTATAAACGTACAAATATTATACAACGCATATAAGAAAGTTTATAGAAAATCTTAAGCTAAATATTTACTTTAGTTATCATTTATCAACACGTGCAACACAACAGTCATTATTTTGACACATATACGAAGTTTCGATGAGTTTACAGTGTGCGTTGTTATTTATCGATAATACTAATGGTTTTATCAATTAAATAATGACTTATATGCAGCTATTAGCGACATTGCCATACAAATGAAAAGGCCATTACCAACGAATGTAAAATTCTCAGTATTGGATTGCTATAAACATATAAAACGTATGGTATTATAAAATTTTACTGAAGAAGTAATAAAGGTAATATTTTTAGTAATAGTTTATGTACAGTAGGTCCTATATTTGCATATCGTAGGTATGCTTCTTCTTATCTAACTTAAGACTTGAATATTTCTGCAAGTCATGCGTGTCGGAAACTAAATCATTATCCGCCTTATTAATAAACAAGGAATAAGCTTAGACTAGTTACGCCGTGTTTTGTTCATGTCGCTCACATGCCATTTGTCATTCAATGAACAAAGACAAGTCATAGATTAAGTAATCCAAGTTTATTTTTTGTTTATTAATAAGGGGGTAAAAGACAATATTATAGTATATACATAATCAAGAATATATTTAGAGAAGTTTGCAATAGTCAAACGTTATTTATGAATCTAGCAAAACTACAGATTAATCGGTATATCTAAATATTTGTTTTTTCAAATTTGTAATGGCAGTTTATCCTTCCTTGACCGTTGAAAAGGCCATAACAGTGCATTGCAAAAATCGCTTTAATGTCTAAGGCAATAATGGCGCTGTTAATCTCAAATTGTAGCCACGAACATGGTCTTGTTTGTACTTCCTATAAACAATAAAATATTTAAAGTGTCTGTCTCATTACAGTTTTATTTTCAAATTCTTTAATAACCTCAAGCACGAACTTTGATAGATCCGTAATCGTATCGTTATCGTCAAATTTTGTAAAGAACGAGCCAATTTGTTCTTATGTCCGGTAGGGGCGCTGCTTTGTTTCCATTAAAACTTTGACGATGCGATACGATTATCCTCTTGGCTTCTTAAACTAGAAATAATATTGTACAAGTAATATTTCTTTAATATTTTCTTAAACGTATGTAACTACAAGATAAATAAATATGTATGATACAATCGTTCATTATTACTATACATATACCTATAAACTAATAAACAATATGGCTATACGTAGCTTGTTACCATGTAAGTGAAAAAAATAGAATTATTGAAATCAGAAACCACTTTTTGTTCCTAATTATATTATAATAAACGCCAGCTCCTCAATTATACTAACCATCATAAATAACATCAGCAGGTCGTTTTCTAATTCCATTACAAAGCATATTGAATTATATGATTTTGCTATTCAAAAATCTTGGTGATTTCAATGTAAAATAAATTATATTGCAGAAAAAAACTCATACGACATTGTTATAAGGTTTATTTTACTTACGTATAGGTATATGTACCTGTCGGTCACCATTTCCTAATTAATTCAGCCTTAGGGCCGCACTGATACTTCAATTAATCATAATGCTTGTCAAAGCGGAGTGTCATTCTATTGCTATCGCCAACTAAGGCCGCGTTGTTTCATCGATGGTTAATGATAAGTCGAATATATAGTACCTAAATGTGTATTTTTTTAAAAATGGTTATGTTTTTCTAAAGGAACCAACTAAAGTAAACTTTTAATACCGATTAAACAACGTGGCCTCAGTCACAGCATCAACTAAAATTATAAATGGATAAACTTTACTGAGTGCGACCGATATGAATAATTAAAAGTATCTACCTATTGTTAGAGTAAAGGTCTTTTGAAGTTAATGTTCTAGTAAAAACCCATGTAAAAAAAATTAAGACATACTTTTAAGTAACAACCATGCTGTTTAAAAGTATGTCTTCAAAAATTCCTACACCCGAATTCCGATGTATCGTGAACTTTGTCATGTTATATCCTACTCTATGGCATTAAAAACTATGTAAGTTAGAGCAGGAGAGTCGACAAAGAAGATCACGAAGCCTAATGGAATACTTATTAATTGGTACTGAAGTTAACGTTGAATAACGCACAACCACTGGTTTGTATTGCATTTTTTTGTATACTTTAAGCATGTTTAATTTTGTAAAGTGGAGTAGACGTTTTATTGACTTACATTTAATTTAATTCCTACTAATATTATAAATGTGAAAGTTTGTATATTTGTTTCTCATTCACGCAAAAACTACTGAATGCATTTGGATAAAATTTGGTACGCATACAGTGTATGCCATGGATTGAGACATGGGATACGTTTTATCCCGGAAAAAACTGAAGGATTCTCAAAAAACTAAAGTTAACGCGAACAAAGTTGCGGACGGCAACAAGAGATAAATATGGCGTTTGCACAAGATTTTGTCATAATGTTTTAAGTACTAATATGTCAGTATTCCATTAAGCGTGCGAGCTGTGTACCCGTCTTCTATCTTTATGGGTTTTCAAACATTCGCTTCTATAGGTGAAGACACAAAGTGGAGGGTCTAAAATAGCGACATTCGATGAAACATTTAAAAAAACCATGTATTAGCTACTGTCGTGCGAATTCAGGGTGTTTGATATCAAATTCGGATTCAGGATTTTTAAGGTGACCCTGAAACCTTCTTCACCACCCTTGGACATCTGAAATTCCAAAATTTGGATGTGATAAATTTAAAAAGATTTTTGTTCGATGTTACGTGACCCTGAGACCCTTGAGGTCTTACTTTAGGTGCATATAATAGGATTGCTTTTCCACGAGGAAAGAGTTGTGGACTATTGATTCTCATTTCACCCATTTTTATACTTTTTACCCTCTGTCATATTCGCTTGACTCTTTGTTGGTGAAAACACATGTATACATTTTAGTATTGCGAGGTAAACGGAGTCATTACGGAGGAATACCTATACAGTGCTTGCTTTGTGGGAAATATTATTATTTGTGAATTCTTCAATTTGACAATAATGAGGTTACATACTCCTAAGTGACCGTTACGCCTTCCATAAATAGGTACCATATGTTTATTAAATTGTAATTTTAAATATGAAAAAAAAGAAACAAATTACACTAGGCGTCAAAAAAATAGCACCTCCGCGAAAATAACTTTCAAGCGTAATTATAACACACGCATTTACCCCCACCAATATTGGTATCATTTGAAAGCCCATTAAATAAATTAAAAAAAACAAATCAATGAATTTCCCTAATTCAGCCTTAATTAAAAACAGATTGATTACACAAAAAACAAAAAAAATTTCTTAAAACTAACATAAAACCTAGTGTTACCTATTGGATTGCGACGCTTTTTTCCGTATTAACCTCGATATGCCATCTATGGAACCAATTGCCAAGGGTGGTAGCAGCTGATTGAAGTCTATTACAGACTGTTCCGAGACGTCTATCGGAGGTATAGAGGGCGGTGTCGTCAGCGAAAGGCGCGAGATCGACTTTAGGAGTCTTGGGCATGTCGTTCGTAAAGACCGAGTAGAGGATGGGCGAGAGTGGTGAGCCCTGAGGGACGCCGGCGCAGATAGGGCGGGACGAGGAGAGCGCTCCTCCGACGCGATAGCGAAACGAGCGATTCGACAAAAAGTCCCATATGATGAGCACGAGTCTGTCCGGTACCCCGATTTTGTTTAGCTTATAAATTAGGCCATTATGCCCGACTTTGTCGAATGATTTCGCCACGTCGAATAAAAGCGCACCTGTGGGGATCGCGGAGGCTCGAAATAGATCGCGGTAGTGGAGGATTTTCTCCGTTAGGTGGTGCACGTGGTGGACACACGAGTGTTTGGGACGGAAACCAAACTGTTCGTTCATAATAAGATTGTACGCGAAGAGAAAATCTTTAAGGTAGCTAGCGAGATCGCGTTCGTAAAGCTTCTTCTTTATAGGGCGATAGCTAGAGGGTAAGGCGCCATCCTTACCGGGTTTCGCGGTAATAAGGCAAAGGAGTTGGGCGGATAAGATCTGAAGGACCTTACTAGAGATTCCGTCTGACCTTGGGGCGCTACGCGGGCGCAGTTTACGGATTAACGAGTTCACCTCATCTATAGTGACTGGTGCAAGAGAGGCGGTGGGCGGTACGGAGGAGGACTTTTCGACTTCCAAGTCGACTAACTGGACGTGAACCCCCATTGAACCATTGATTGTATCCCTTTTATACCTACTAAAAGTAGCGCAACTACGAGCCCTTTTAAGGGAGCAAAATTGGATTTTTTTTAAAGTCACATTTGTGGTATTAACCTTTTTTTAATGAAATGAAATGGCTTTTTTTTTAAGTTTATTTAGTGGGGTTTCAAATGACACCAATATTGGTGGGGTTACATGCGCGTTTTTAGGGTTAATAACTACTAAAGTTATTTTCGCGAAGGAGCGTTTTTTTTGACGCCGAGTGTATTAACAATATAAGTACAATAGTAGACTCGGATCTGAAGATCCGCAAATCTCTTTTGTAACATGGATTTTGTAAAAGGGTTTTTAGATATCTGCTTCTATGGCTGCCGGTGTAGGCATAAACCAGATCTCTTGGAACTATAAGAGTTTTCAAACACTCGCTTCTATAGTAGTAGGAGTAAATACATAAACAGAATCGTCGAGCCAGTAATACGCCTGAGCGAAGTCTCCCTCGCAGAGGTAAGGCACGCGAGCCCAAGACTTCATTTCGAACCCGGCTGTCGCCATAAATGTTATGAACGAGGCGAGTTGTTCCTCGAATGTGGCCCCTTGTATCGGCAGTCGTTCTTCGGGCTTATGATCAGGTGTTACTGCACAAAAAATATAAAGGAGATAAAGTATCATCATTATCAGCCTATTAGTGTCCCCACGGCACATGTATTCCCTATGAATGGAAGAGGGAGATTGGGCCATGACATGATTGGTGGGTACTATTGAAGCCGCGACCAACGGCTTAACATACCTTCCGAAGTACAGAGAAGTCCTAGTAAATTGTTGGGCACCCATGCAATGGCGGATTAATGAGAAAGCTGCTTAGCTTCAACGATCGCAGCCGAACCACTACCGCCATCGAGCTCCTCAGTGAATCAATATTAAGTATATAGTTTTCGAAAAAAGAATTAGGCGGCCATAGATAAATGATTGGTCTCGCTTCACTCGACTAGATACCGCCGGCGTACTTGTCTAATGCGGCAACAAATACTATGCCGAAATCGGCATACCCGAGCTTTCACCGAGTCAGTCAACCTGACAGTTGTGTATGGCGTGTACGTAGTGAATGTTTTTTTAAATTTGGTGTTAATCGAAAGTAAAATGCCAGTTTATGTAGTGAAATAATACAACAATAAATAACAAGGACGCTGGGATCACATAACATCAATAAGTATATTAAAATTTCGAAATTTCAACATAAAATAACATGAATTCTAAACGTCATTCAGGTGTTGCCGCGTATACAAGTATCAAGTCCCTATGGTTGAGATTTTTATTTATAATGTGAATTTATTGTTAGTGTATTTTATTATTGAACCTATGTTATTTAAACTTACCATTAAACTTGCAATTAAACTTAACCTAGTTTTATATTAATCAACGTTTATCTTTGTAATCTTCCTTTTATTCCTTTGATATTCTGTTATTATTTTTAATAACATTTTTTCAACACATTTTCTCGTAAACTGACTCTTATTATTTACACAGTTTTTAGTTTCACAATATTAACTACCATACTAGATGTGTATTTTTTTTAATTTCATCATTTTATTTAAATTATTTTAGGGTTAAGATGACAAATAAACGATTCATTTTGTATTTATAAACACAAATTAACTTTACTAACGTATTAAGAAACATTTATTTATGCTTAAAGTTTTTTTTTATATTGCTGCTGTTCCAGCTGCTTAGTCGGTCTTTAAACAGACTTCAAAAAAGGATATTCTCAGTTTGATCTGTATGTATATTTGACCATGACAATCTGAAAGCTACGGATCCGAATTGGATGGGGTTTTCGCGCATATTAATGCGTAAATACGCATTTCTGAGAAGGTTTTAGTATATAATTTACTAGCAATGTCTCATGGTTTTACCCGTGTGGATCTACGCTTGTACAATTTCCAACTAGTAGCGTATTCTGTGTAGCACTAAAATATGAAAATAATTAATTTTCAATAAAAATAAAACCGACTTAAAAAAAATTGATTTACCGCCTGATATCTTGAAGTCGATGCCAAGGTATGTGTTTAGCAGGGAGATCGTGATAATAATAACGATCGACTTCACGGTAAATCTTATTTTACATTTTCAGTATTTTTGAAATCGGTTATATTTTTATCAAAAATTATTCCTGTGCCGTTATTGAACCCGTGAGCGCATTAATAAATAATATTTGCGCAATTTTAATTCAACCTCGCCGGAAATACTAATCGAGGCACAAAACGCGGTTGATAGGCTTTTGCCGCCAGTTGATTTATGAATATATTACAGTAACATGACGATATATCTAAAACGACGTCCTGATGGATATATTGGTCGAAAGTCAAAGGTATTGTCACCAACCGATTTTAAAAAGTTTTGAAGGTAGCTCCGTAATGTCAAAATACTTGGCAAAAAGCTGCAAAGGTCAGTTGAACTTTATAACAGTTACTAACTTCAAGTTTGTTTTTTCGTCGCAATTGTGTTGAAAAACGTCGTATGTAGCTCGTGTGCATTGATCATTACACACTCAGCTTCCTTACCGACTTATCACACTTGAATCACTGTTATAATGTACAAGTAAATATTACATGTAAAAAAATATAATTGAGGAATAAGCATTTTTTAAAGAAGAAACCTACGCCTAATCGTATAAGTACACTAAAATATTGATATATTCGCATTTAATTAAGTACATCTTCTTCAAGTATTTTATGAGCTACATTTAAAACCTGGTACATATTAATTATAATCTACAATATTTTCCCTATTACTTGGGTAGCAGTTGGGCAGCTGGCTACACGATTTATGACATTTGATAGCATCACTGCAAATTGACATACACACACTACAATAATGAGTTGCCGCATATATGGAGCTGTTGTTTTTTGACAGCGCGGTATCTAGTCGAGTGAAGCGAGACCAATCATTCATCTATGTAGGCGGCGTAAAAAATATTGGAATTTTTTATAAAATTGATCATCGGTTTGGTATTTTTTCGAAAATTCCGCCATTAAAAATACTAATCAATAACAAATCACACAATGAGAAACGCTCCCTCTGTCCGACTACTTTAGTAACTAGGTCTCTGTCTTTCAGGTCAAAGGACAGAAGGTTAATGGTCCTTTTGTATCTTTATATTTGTAAATTAATATCTTTAACTCTAGTAATTTGATATTTAAAATGTATTTATATCAATTGCCAAGAGATATCAAAATGTGAATTAGACTATAAGTAAGATGATATACGACACAGCTAGCTTTGTTTAAAAATGTTCGCTATTACCTTCAACGTGAGGTTTGTATGGTAGTACCGGCGCCTGGAGTAATAGTCCGCCCAGCGCTATAGTCGACTTAGCTTGCGGCTTGCCGCAGCAAGGTCATCGGCTTCATCATGCAAATACAATCAAACTTCTAGCGCCACCAGACCTATGTCTTACCTGTGAAGATCTTCTATTACCATCGACATAAAGTTTGTCAAGGCCAAGAGTAACATCCCACCAGGCGCTATGGCGGTCTTGGGCTGCTGCAGCAATGTCATTGGTCTGCTGTAGCGGTTATTTTTCTTCTGAAATGTCCTCTATTACCTTCGACATAAGGTTTGTATGGCAGTACCAACGCCAGGAGTAGCACCCCGCCCGGCGCTATGGCGGTCTTGGCCTGTCGCAGCATGGTCATCGGCTTACTGCAGCGGTCCAACAGGTTCATCATGCAGACGCAGTCGAACTGCTTCTCGCGCCACCAGTCTTCAGTGTCTAGTAACCTGTGAAGAATTCAGTGATATTGTTATCTTTAAAAAATAAAGAAGGTTCAGCGAATCTCGTCAGCAACAGTCTGATGAAGGAACTTCCATTTTACAGAAAACTATACTTAGTGTGTAAAGTTTCAACAGTTCCGACGCGGTTTGTAGAAACAAACATGCAAACGTGATACACCTGTCTACAGAACCCGTAATATTTGGGGATATACTGATTTTTTACTGCCAATTACTGTTTATAAGGAGAATCCATTACCCAATAATGTACAACTCACGTGTATCCTTTGCTAGAGAGCGCTTTCCTCATGCTAGCTGAGATTTCAGTGGCATATCTGTCGGAGTAGAGGCGAGCGAGTCGGTGGCTGACTTCGCCATCGCCAGCTCCGATGTCCACCACCGCGCCTGTACCCTCGCTAGAACTCCTCGCAGGCCGCAGCATTCTGCGCGCTTGCTCTTCCGACAGAACAAACATGGAGCCTCGACCGAGCCATCTGGAACCAAGTTGATTGGTATGAAAATTCAGTGATTCGGCTGCGGCAAAAAACCTTTTATGATTCATACAATAATTTTTGCTATGCCAACTCATGTTTGTTAACGAGTACTACACAGCAGTTTCCATAAGGGAGAGTAGAGCTTTATCTGAGCTAAGGTATGTGAGGTAATTTGAAATTGATATCTGAGTACTACGCGATGAGTTATAGCTTCAACTATATCATGAAACTATTAATTTTGTTATCTAAGTTAATTGTCTAAACAAGAAAGTTGCTCAATGTCTAAACCTTCTAATTTAGCCGAAGGTAAAGTTACTTCCTTGAAAGCCATTTGCAAGGCAGTCGCCACGGAGCCAGCTAGGCAACAATAGCGCAATTATCTACTACCGTTAGTCGTGTGGTGGTTGTGGAAGGTGTACTGAGGCCGCAATTACTAGGGATAGTGCACAAAGCGCGCTGCGGGCTGCACTCGGCAAATTGTGGCGGATGCCCCACCCCCCGCGGCCCGCCGCCCCCGAGCCCCTATGTCTTCATCGCGCCCCAGGCCAGCGGCGAAAGTGGATAATGAGTAGTAAATCCATCTCTCATTAGCTGAGAGCGAGCGTCGCAACGATCGATACGAATTCGTCTTCGCCGGGTAATGGGATAATCGGTGCGAGGCTCGAGGTCTGTTATTAGCCATAGTACCATATATCACGCGGCGCAAGCCCGCGCCCCCGGCGGCGTCCGCGCCGCAATTACTGCGCCGCAAACAGCGCACCTCGTTCGGTCACAATGCCCTATTGGGATAACGTAACGACGTCTTCCGAACAAAAAGGGAAATTTGGAGAGAGCATTTAAAGAAAAGGAACGCCAGCCCAAGTCCCTGCAATGCATATAAATTACATACTACCTAGAAAACGAAATTAATTTTCTCTATAGATACATAACCCAAGTTTATTCCTGAGTATTGCTTTATGTAAAGATCTAGCTAACAAATGAGTTCGACTGCTCGAGTAAATAGGAAAACTATCCTATCGGATAGTGTGTGTAAGTAATGTGACCGAATTTGTAAATCAGTCCCGCTGATCTGCGATAAGTTCGACTCGCTTTGGCACCAAAATAATCAGAGGAATGGGTTCCTCTCCTATTTATTATCACCATGTACTTTGCTGACATCAAATAAAATGAAAACTACCAATGGCACATATGTGGTTAGTAAATAAAATATTGTAAAACGCGGCACGGTAGAACAAATACGTCCAATAACTTTGTTCATGCGAATAACGTGTTAAGTTGACGTGACTGCAAAATGGGAATTTTATCCTAGATTGAACTAACTCCGGTTGTCTTTATTGTGTGAAACCATTTGAAGCGCACAAAAAGGTGATCAGGGAAGTAACTGTCTAATTATTTTCGCTTCAAACTTCCCTAGGGTCTGTGCACGCCACTATTTGTAGAAGCTTAAGTCAAGTGACGTATCTCTATGAAGTTAAAGGCATCGTAGGAAGCGAAACAGTTACAGATTTGAGCGCTGGATCACACTAGGAGATATGACTACTCTCTCCGCGACCATGATCCCAGCATGGGCCACCATAGTATACGTGTTCACCCTTTTTTTTACGTAAGATTTCGCAGTACCTATGTGTATCACACGTGTCATCAGGCGGGCGGATATCGGCGGTCGGCGTTGCGGCAGCTCGTTTGCGGCGGTGTCGATTGATTGCTTTATTGTCCCGTCCAGCGGCGAGACGCGCGATACATGATACATGAACCCGCCTCGGCAGCGGCTAATGAGCATCGACCACTGCGTAATTGTCATTGGCCATTGCGTCGGCTTAAACTCATGGGATTCCACAGACGCGTCAGTCGATTGAGTCACAGCGAAACAGTGAAAGATATGAAGTTTTCTGTCCCGTTGAAGCGGCATTCACCAGCTGTATGATTGATTTATAGTGATCGTAAACGGGAATGAGCATTGTTGTCGAGCTTGCTTCTTATGCTGAATACTAAAAACGTTTCACGTGTTGTCGGTTAAGGAGTTACCGACGCTTTTAATGAGTATCAACAGAAGATTAGACCGTTGAAGTTGAAATTATTACGGAATGGACTTTTGTGTGCGACCTGCAGTTTGAAGCGATAAAACTGCCTGCGTGATATTTAAGTTGTTTTGGGCATCGACCAAAGTTCTTGTCCGTGATGTGAGTAAGCTTTGCTTTTGTAGATTTTTTATTTTTAATGCGTATTCAAGTATCCTTTCTCACAAAACAATTACTTCAGATATAGTTGCAGATGACGTGTTGACAACTTCGCATCATTAAGCTCCGGCAACCAGCAGTTTATTGTCAAGCTTATTTATTTATTTATTTTGGTTACATGGAAGACCAACAGCTTATCTTAATAAACTAGAAATGAATAGTAGCGACAAAGAGCCAATTACAGGTCCTCACATCTAGACATAACTTAAAGTTATGAAGAAACCATTTGCACTGTCCAATTTAAAAAATCTCTTAATTATGGTTTTATAAAGGAGGTTCTTATGATAAATAACAGAATAACAAATTACGCACATGTTAATTACTAAGACTTGTCTATGGAATCATCGGGTTCGGAATCTTGAAAAACAATTCTTTATTTGGTGGCTGACAATTCATTTTAGTAAAAGAAAGATAAAGGCTTAGATGCTTTACCCTCGTGCTGCCTTTTTTTAATAGGTACTCTTGTATCAATGTGATTGAATGTATTAGGTATACAAATAACAACCGAACGAAGAATTAAAGGCCCTCGCGACACTGTCTAGAGGATCCGAAGTATTATGTATTATACGAAGTATTGTGCAAAGGGTGATGTGTAAATCGAGTAGAGAATGTGGAAAGGCGAGGCGGGCAGCAAGTATCTATTTCAATAGAATGCGGTGGCTTGCAACAAGGAATCCGATGCGGTTATCGACGACGGCCGGAGGTGAGAGATGTGTCGCCGGGCGCGGGGCGGGGGTCGTATCGCGATTGCATCGGAGAGCAAACAAGCGGGCGGGGTGTCGCGCTCGCGGGAGAGGGCGCTCAAATCATATTACCCCCGGCCTCACACCCGCGCGCCGCCACACACGTCATTTGAGTGTGCGTCGCTATGGCGACGGCCCGGGCCGTGCATGATATTAGTACGTGTGCGGCTCATCTCCGGCCGTTTAAACTTAACGCGCCGCCGCCGCCGCCGCTACTGCCTCGCGCGGGAAATTAAAACCGGCTCCGGACCGGAAGGCGCAATCGACCCTCGCCCGCCTCACACCAATCCTTGCGTCACATACGTGAAAATACTTTAAGACATGGTATATAGCATTCGCTAATTTTCGCCCAAACATACCTTATTTTTTTTCAAAGTTGCTACGGTGAGACGACATGGGATTAACTCATATTAATATGGAATAGAAGACTCTGTTGGCGGTTAGGACGGTATACCAAACTCCTATGTTATGCATATGCATAACCATATCAATAATTTAAGATATCTTACTAGCATTAAGATATATAAATTTAGATTGAATCTGATAGCCTTAAAGCTTTGAAAATTTTTGAAAATAACTGTGAATCATTCAAGATTCTTATTATCTTGCTACTACTACAATTCCGGCTCAATATTAAGAAATTGAAAGCTTTTGAAAATAACTGAATAATCATATTAACTTACAACTTCAGCTTGGGCTAAATATTAAGAAATAAAACAGGCTCAGTGTTATTTTGTCCACATAAATAAGAAGGCACCAGCCAAGCGCACATAACCCTGCAGGAGATAGGAGGAACTCCTCCCCGCGTATGTAGATAGCTACCTACACATTTGCTTTGCTGAGAGACATTGTCGCTTTCAGGCACCTCATTAGAGAGCGTCCCATGTGAGCCTACAACTTCCCCTCCCCTACCCCCACCTTGCCCCGTTCCTACCTCACGCACACACGAACATCGGAAATTCTTTCTCTGCTCGCAAACTCGCCTGGATAATTACACTTAGATAGTAAGCTCAGGCTTTGTCTTTTTAGATTGCTTTAGGAATTGAAGCTTATTTATGTTACGTAACTTCTATAGAAGTTGAATTGGACTCCGTAATTGAGTGGTGGAAATTGGATTGCTTTGTGCCGCCGTAACCATCTTTCATTTAAACTTAATTTTATGAGAGTGTACGTACCTATTTTACTAAATTTCTCATTTCTAGGTTTAGTTAACAATCGTATAATTGGATGTTGAAATTGGATCCAACCACGTACAGACGTTTGTGAAAGTATTATCTCCCAACAATAAAATGATTTCTTTTTCTGAGAAAACGTTCAGTTCAGTTTGCATCTAATGACGTTAGTTAAATAAGATTGGTATAGAGTAGTAGATTTGAAAAATGTGACTCGTAAGTTCAGAATCTCTATAAGGAGCGAACTTATTATCATTAGCTATAAATTATTTTTCAATTTAAATTTCTGTCTTTATAGACACTAACTACTAACTAGACTAACTAGACTAACTAACTAGATATTATTATCTACACTGTTAGTGCGTAGGTCTTCTCTAGGAAAACAAACAAAAGGGGGAAAAACACTATACCGACTGCGGAGGACTGATAAGGGCTGACGATTGCAGATGCAAGAAGACCAAGGGCTTAATGCTACCATTAAAGCACAGAGGATTCCAAAGATTTTTTTGGCAGGACTTTAAATTTGTTCAACATCCACAAATCACAGATTGACCATTGCTCTATTGAACTCCTCGTGAACATTTACAGCCTCCATACGAGGTGAACTAGTTACCAAGACTATATAACTCAAGTCCTAAGCTGTAGACTATATTAGGGGGCAATAAAATCAAGTTCTATAGGGCATAATCGAACGTCACAAGATTCACAAGAGCCACTCCGTAACCCGGGGGCCACCCGAGCGGTAGTAAACCATAAAAAAGTGGATAGTAAAATGTATAAACAATGAGTGGCAGGGCCAAAACGTTTTAGTGTTAAGAGTGGGCCCATAAAGCGTTGACACGCACCCGTAAAATATTAACGATACCTACAAGAAAAATGACGACTATCAATGTAGGCACCGATTTTCGGTCGCGAGGACGCTACAAATAATGGCGGGGCCGAATTTATACGCGGACCGAATTGCCCCGATTGAATATTTTACCAGGCCACGAATGCGTCCGACGATATTTTTCTATTTCACCGCCCATTTTTACTATCAATTGCTTAGTTTCCCCTTTAATATTATTCGTGCGGCGACACGATCGTTCCGTCTTTGCGAACTTTAAGGAAAATATTTTCTGGAACAATAAACGGAATTGATCAATTAGATGATTAAGGTAGTTTCGAATAGGGGTTCGATTTTTGCATGGTAGAGCTGAAAATCCGTTACAGCAACAGTGCATTAATCGTTGGGAAATAAAGTTCCACAAAAACATTGGTGCCATTCTTCTTTTAAATGCTGCCGGAGTGCTGAAGTGGCAAAGTATAGGGACACAGTATAAGAAACATGTTACAATGAATAAATTTAATGTTTGGATCGTCGTCTCGGAAAAATTTACACAATTATTTTCATCGTCAATCCTTTTGAGTATTCGCAATTTAAGTATCCAAAGACGAGAAGAGCCTTACGTGTGTTATCATAGTTCATTAGCATTTCAGCTTCAATGTTGTAGAAATACATTGTGCTCACTTGGTAGAATATTTGCGTAGTCGCTGACGGTTATATGTTTTGCGTTTTAAAAATACAATAACCTTTAAAAGGTGTAAAGGCGTGGGCCCAATTCGAGTGCCAGTCGGGGTTTAAAATAACTTCTGCGAGACGAATGGTTTATTGCTTATTGAGTAGCTCTGACGAAACGCGCCTCCGACGATAAAACTCGGGGCGAGTGGAATCTCAGTCAATATCACAATATACGTGGCGACATTGAAATTATCGCTCGGTGGGAGGCGCGCGCCTCCGATGAGGACGTGAGTAAAACAAAATGAGAATTGGTTTGAAACAATGAATATTGTCGCGCGCGGGATGCGTGCGAGTGCGAGGCGAGTGCGTGGAGTGCGCGGGCGGGATGCGTGCGCGGGCGCGGGCTCGTTAGCGACCCGCCATTGGCCGCCGCGAGGTGGGCGGGGCGACACACAAACTGCGCGCACGCAAATAGCGCACCCGCACACAAATTAAAACAATAAAATGAAAGTAATAAAACAAAGTGAGCATTGAAGAGTATCCACTATCGTGAGGCTTAATGGCCGAGCGGAGGCGGCGACGTGCCGATTTATATTGAACACAACTCCTCTGCCCCGTTGTGGCCTGATCAGAAATTCGGGAACGGACAACAATGTGGATGAAATGCATTTATTACTAACTGATATTAAACTAAACTTTCAAAATTATTCGATGTTTAGTTAGCAAAAATTTTGACTAATAGAGAAATTAGAGGATTACATTATTGAGTCAGAAATAATTTACTTCCATTTTATATTTTTGTATAGATAATATAATCGCAGACTGTAGATTTCGTAACAACTATACAATACGTAGGTGCTTATCGAAATACTAATATCTGCAATAATTTAACACATATTAAGTACGTTGACATTTCGTATCTTTTTCATTTTCTAAAGCATTAAAAATGATCGACTTCATTGTATAAATATTTACTACAACAGAATAGATTCCTGAAATTACTCTCATTACGTGAACCTAAACTATTGCCCAAAAGTACCTTCATTTTTCATGAAAAAAAATTTTAGTCTGACGGAATCTCTGAACTAATATTTAAATGAAACAGCTTAAAGCTTTCTAACATTAAAAACCTAACTTTGTTAAAGGTAACTATAAAAACCCAATTTACACAAAAAGTGCTAAAATAAAAAGTGGCAGTGTTATTTTATAATGACTGTAAGTTTGAGCAGTTTACTTAACAGAATCGCCTTAATTTTAAGTTATATTACTTTGACGTTAAGAGTTACATACCGTCCATTCTTATTAAAGTTAAAACGCCCTTAGCTTACTATACTATAAAGTATTTAAAGGGTTAATGAATTGAAAAAGTCTTCTAAAATAGAGTGAAAATAAGGGCTATAGTGAATATATGAAAATATGAGCATGAGCACCGCGATATGATATGCGTTTTTATCACGCACAATTGTCAATTTACTGTGGAGTTCGACAGTTAGACGCGATAAAAAACGTGATATAATGTAAATTGTAGTGCTCATGCTTCTGAGGCTGGGTTACTTATATTATCTTATAATAAATCTCATTTTCCTTACGAGACTTATTAAAAGTTTAAAAAAGTAGGTGTAGGTCATGTTGGGTTATCTTATTTGCTTTCTGCTGATATCAAATTACTTTGGAAACATAGATAATC